GGAAGAAGGGGGGGATGAGGATGGAGGAGGATGAGAGAGGGGGGGGGAGGCCCCCTGGACCCCCCCCCCCCCGCGGCGCGGCAACGGGCAACTGGCAGGGCTCGAAACAAACCTTGGGGCTAGCGCCCCGATTGTCGTCGAGATCGCGGCGCTAGCCCCATTTTTTTCCCGGGGGGGAAGGAGGGGTGGAGGGGAAGGAGGAGGGGGAGGAGGAGGGAGGAGGGGGTGGGAAGAGGGGGGGATCACCACGCGGCCCCATGAGAGCCCCGCCAGCCCTCTGAGCGCGAGCGGTTAAGACGCAAGACCACCGCCCGCTCTGTTTTCCACGGCTGCCGCGGCAAAAACATGGGCCCCTTAGGGGCCATGTTTTGCCGCCGGCAGCCGCGTTGCAGTTGACGATGGGACATCTTGGTGACCATCGGTAGAGGAGGGGGGGAACGAGGAGGATGAGGAGGAGGAGGAGGAGGAGGAGGAGGAGGGGGAGGGGGAGGAGACCACCAGCAATTATGGGAAGGGCCCGACGCAGACCCAAGAAGGCCCCGAGAGAGCCCCAAGATGAGACTGATGGGCCACATGAGGGGAAAGGGTAGCCTGGGGGCGCCTCGCCCTGCCTCGCATTCCCTTCCCCTTCCCCTTCCCTGCAGGTTGACGAGTTCGGCAACAGGCTGAAGGAGGTCGTCTGTCAGGGCGAGCGTTGCCTCGTGCTGAGCGGCATGCGCAGCGAGAAGCACAAGGAGGCGCTGAAGCTGTCCGTGAGAGGCTCGGGGAAGGCTTGGCCCGTCGACGCCGCCGAGGCCCAGGCGGTCTTCGCGCATCCGCTCCAGCGCTGCTCGAGGTTCGAGCGGGCTGGCTTGGAGCTGGGCTCGGCCGAGGAGCGCCGCGGCAGGTCGCGCTCGAGGCGCCGTGGCGGCGGGTCGCATCGGCGTCGCAGCAGCGGCCGCGAGCACGCCTCGCCGCCGTCTCGCGCGGCGTCTCGCCGCTCGGGCCTGGGCCCGTCGGCCCCGCGGCTCGAGGCCCCGACTCCTCCGCGCGCCGGCTGCTCGCAGAACGTGAGCTCGCAGCAGTCGGAGGAGGAGGAGGAGGAGGAGGAGGAGGAGGAGCAGCAGGAGGGGGACGCGGCTGCTGCGAGCCTCTCGGAGGACGACCGCGTGGCCGACGCCGTCTCGGCCTTCAGCGGCCGCCGCTCGGCTCGCAGCAGCCGCGCGCGGTCGACCCAGTCGCCTGCGGCGGCCCACGCCATGGAGGTCGCCCACACGCAGAAGATCGAGATCTGGGAGGCGAGGTTCGCCGAGCTGCCGAGCCACTTCGAGGAGACCGTGGACATGTGGAACGCCCAGGACTGGATCGCGGAGTACTTGGAGGAGGTCGCGCTGTCGGAGCAGGCCCCGCCGCCGACCAACTGCGGGGGGGGGGGGGATGAAGGGCGATGATAAGGCCGTGTTCCGTTGAAACCGTTCCGAACCCATCCGAGGCTTCAAGAAGCCTCGGATGGGTTCGGGAAGGTTTCAGCGGAACGCAGCCTCGGATGGGTTCGACGGTTTCCAAAAGGCCTCGGATGTGTTCGAGGCGTTCTAAGAGGCATCGAGGCGCAGTGCATCGCGAACGCAGCCTCCTGTGGAGGCTGCGTTCGCGATCACTGCTGCATCGCTGCAGCCTCCGACCCAGCCCACTGGAAGTTGCCCCAGCGCGACGCGCGCTACTTTTGTTTGCAGCCCCTTCCATCCTCGGCCCCTCCCCTCATGCACCGTTTCCCCGACGCCCCAAACCTTCGCGTCCTCCTCCAACCCCTTCGGCACCCCCGCCCCGCGCCCAGCGTGCCCCCCCCCCCATCGGGCCGCCGGCGGATCGCGCGGCCTCGAACGCGACGGCGAGCCTGAGGAGGAATGAGGCGGATGGCAACGAGGACGAGCAGGGGCAGAGGTGGGGGGAGGGGGCACGGCAGCTGGATTGAGGCAGCGAAGGAGGATGCGGGACGATGAGACAGACCAGGGGGGCGAGGTTTGGCCACGGCGGGGAGGGGGTGACTGCGTGGGCGATGCCCGACCGACGCAGAGAAATGGGAAGGATTGTTGGGCACTGGGGGCGCTCGGTGGCGCGGGCCGCTCGTCGCACCCCCAGGCGGACGGGGTGTGCATCATCGAGTGGCTGGAGACCCAGATCGCGGAGATTGGCAAGGAGGAGCCCTGCGCGGGAGTGTTGGCCAGGCGTAGGATGGTAATGGTTGGAGAGGAGTTGGTGGCTTATGAGGGGGACGCTGGGGGACGTGGCTTTCCTGGGGCCGCCTTGGGCCACTAAGAGGTTCCGAGAGAGCCCCAAACGGGCCTGAAGAGAGCTCCGCGAGGGCCCCGAGAGCCCTATTCGATCCCTCTCGGAAGGCCCGAAGGGGGCCCAAGACCAAGCGTGTGCAACATCCCGCTTGCGCGCGCTTGGTTTCAGGTCCCCTTGGGGCCCTCTTGGGTCTCTTGGGCTCCTCTTGGACCCCCATTGGGCGGGCTCGGTCGACGGCGACGTGCCCCTCCCTCTCCGCCCAGGAGCGCGTCGCTCGTCTGAACTTGCCCGACTGCTTGTCCAGGCTCAAGAAGGCCAAGGAGAATCTGGACAAGCTGCGTGAGCACACGCAGAAGTGGGACGAGGGCCTCGACTTCGGCCAGGGGAAGAGTGCGATCAGTCGGCGCGTGCAGGAGTGGAGGGAGGAGGTGAGGCGCTTCCGCCGCCACGAGACTGGCTTGCAGGCGCGCGCGGAGGGGGCGGAGGCAGGGCGGGGGTCGACAAGGGAGACGGGGGCGGCGGGCAGTGGAGGCGCTCCAAGGGGGGGGGCGGCGGCGAGGGGCGGCGTGGGAGTCGGCAGTTCCTCGAGGAAGGATGCAGACGAGGGGAGGGGGCAGAGGCGCGGGTGGACCGCGCGGTCATGCCCCCGTCGCCGCCGCCCGCCGCCCCCCCGCAGGCCCCCCCCTGCCTTCGCCCTGCACCGTGCCCCCCCGCCCCAAGTTGTGAACCTGCCCGAGGCTATCGTGGCCAAGAAGCGCTTGGAGAAGAGTGGGCTCTCGCGCGAGTGGAGGTTCGTGAGGGGCAAGATCAGGTCGTACCTGATTGGCAAGAGGCTGCCAGACGCCGCGGCGATGATATCGGCGAACACCTTGAACGACTTGGGCATGCCATCGAACGAGTACGGATTGAAGATTGAGTACAATGTGGTTGCAGACCACCCTGCGAACAACATCTGCGTGAACACGTTCCTGGAGCCGTTCATCATCAGGAAGCCGCAGGACGTGGATAAGGCTTCCAGGGACATCTTCCAACAGACGTTCGCGAACATGTGCGAGGAGCAGGACAAGCCCATGGCGGCCAAAATGACAGAGGTGAGAGACTACATGCGGAAGAATGACTTGGGATCGGCTTGGGGGACCCTGGGCTACACGCCGAGTTTCTGCTTCAAGCTCGACGGCGAAGATGGCGATGTTTCGACTGACCCACTGGGCGGGCTCCGCATGGCCGTATATGGGCGCAGCACTGGGGAGTGGGAGACTGAAAAGACCACGCTGCCATGGTCTCAGTGCCCGATCTTCGTCCAGCAGTTCAGTGGTCTCTCGATGGTGGTCATCGTAGATCCTGATTGGGTCTCAAAAAATCTTGATTTCAACGGTCTGCTGGAGAACGCCGAGTCTGGGGCGCTCTACAAGCATCGGTCGTGCTTGCTCGAGGCGGGCAGCGCTGTGTACGTGCCGATGGGTTACGTGCCGCCCTTGATCCCCATCGCGGCCAGCATCGACTGGAAGAGCAAGAAGCCCAACCTCAAGGAGTCCAAGCGCGGCGCCGAGGTGAAGCACCTGGCCAGCTACGGCATCAGCTACTTCTTGGAGGACCGCGTCCGCGAGAAGTCGCCATCGGGCGCTCTCGCAGCCGCGGCCGCCGCGTGGGTCGCGGCCAAGACGACGCAGCTCCCGAAGTCGTTCAAGGCCAACTCGGGCATGGACGCTTGGTTCGACGCCTGCGGCCAGGGTGCAGCTCGCGGCGAGATGGTCGACTAGGTGTTCCGTTGTCGCAACACGTCCCGTGCTTTTCGTTTGTCGGTCAGCGCGGCCATTCCCGCCAGAGTGGAATGACCGCGCGCTGGCCGACAAACGAAAAGCACGGAACGCCTGTCGAGCACAAGGTTGGCCCCCGCTGAACATGGGGGCGAGTCTTTTGCTTGGGATGTGAGTACGTGTACTCGGAGTCCCGTGGGCCGCGCCGCCAGCGCGGCGAGGATTCGCATGGATGTTGGATCATCCAACTCTTGACTGTTGAAAAGGGTGGTCCCTCCCGACAGTGCTCGGGAGGGGGTGTACCGGTGGGGACCCATCATATCCCAAATCTGCGTGCCGGGACCGCACATTTTCGTCGTCTGGCCCCCTCTTCCGCAAAAATCCCCGCGAGGCCGCGCCAATCCACTATCCCCTGCGGCGGCAAGCAAGTGTGGCGCGAAAGAAAGAAGAAAGAAGAAAGAAACCGCTCGCAACGCACCCTGAGTCGCAAGCCCACCGGAGGCTGGACGATTTTCAGGCAATCAACTCAAGGCAAACTGCTGAGTAGTCGTATCCCCACCTAAGGGGGGTCCCTTCATTGTGCCTGCCCGCTCCTCGCTCGCCTCCTCCGTGGATCAGCCCAGCCCTCCCTGTCCCTGCTAGCCCCTCCCCCCCTGCCCCTGCCCGCCCTTGCCCCCGCCCCGCGGAGCGAGCCGCTCTTCTCCGCTTCCTCAGCGGGTCAGCCCGCCCTCGCCCCTCAAGGGATGGCCGAGCCAATCAGGCATCTTCCCCTCAAATGCCTTTCGCCTCCTCGCCGTTGACGCCCTCTCCTCCTTCCAACGCGCCCTTCGGCTTCCCCTCCGCCCCCTCGCGACCCCGCTTGCCTGCCCTTGTCGCTCCTCGGTCGCCCCGTCCCCCTCCCGCCCTCAGCCCCCCCTGCCGGGCCGCGTTGGTTCAAGGCTGCAGCTGCGCCCAGTTATGCGGGCGCGCGCCGAGATGGAGCGGGCGCTAAGAGCTAGTTGCTTCTCGTGCGCCCATTCCCGCGCGAGCCTCCTGGGCACGCGCGCGCGGTGGATATCGCGCGTTGGGCCCGTGATCCCTCGTCTATTCGAGGTTGGGTAGGCGGGCCGCCCGAAGTACGACGTCAGAGTAAAGACGTCGTTTGGGCACTCGACTGCGATCGTGTTGTCGGAGTGGTGCGACGGCGCGTTCGTTTAAAGCGTGGCGGATCGTGGACTTCGCGGCATGCCTGGATGCCTCCGTCTTGCGCGAGGGCGGGGGGTGTTTGTGCTCGCTTGCCAGTGCTCCTTGAGTTCGTGTCCTGTGCACTTTGGCCGCTGCGCGGGCCTGGTTGGCGCTTGTTATTGTTTCGTGGCTAGGTGCGCACGGGAAATGCGTTCGCCCCCTTCGTTCTGTCATCGCGAGGCAGCTTGGTTGGGCGCGCTGGCCGCGCCATTTCGCTCTGCGCGCCCCCGCGTGCAGCCGAAATTCTGCAGAGTTGATTTGTCCGCGCGTCGGCAACAGTTGCAATTTCGATGGGCGCTGCGATGGTTCGTTGCGTGTTCTGCGACGCCCTCGGGGGCGCGCGGGCTCCGCGTCGCTTCGCCTGGTGACCTCGCCACGCGCAGGCAGTCCTCGCGCGAGCCTCGCGCGGGATTCCTTGAGGGCGCAGTTGTCGCCCCAGCGCCCCTCGCCAGGCCCTTACAGGTGGCGGGCCCCTGGACCGCCACCCGCGGGTGGGCCCACGCAAGGCGCGCCCCTGCACAAGTGGTTCATCCTGTGGCAGGCTCAGCCATTCCACGACGGGCTCGTCCCGCTGCACGACGCCGTCGTCTTGGAGGCTGGCTTCCTGCACAAGTGGTGCATCTTTTGGCAGGGCCGCGCTTCCTCTTGGCAGGCGTTCTCCGGCTCCCAGCTACGCCGGCGACGTCGGCCCCTTCCTCTGGTAGGATTTGCCGCTCGCGGACGCCAGCGACGCCCTGCCCTTCTGCGGTGATCAGGCGGCGCACACCTGCCCGCAGCCCCCCCCGGGCGGGGCCTCTGAACGCTGGTGGGCAGTGCCGCCGTGGTTCCACGCGACGCCCCCCCCGCCCATGGGCGCACGGCAGTTGCCACTCGGGACTCACGCCAAGACTACAGTCGCCTGCTTCAGTGACGACCTCTCCTCGAGCACGTGGTGCTCCGTGAGTGAGGCTCCCTTGCCCTCCTGCCCCTCTCCCTTTTCCCCCCCAATCGCCCTGCTCTTCGCCGTCCGGTCTGTCGGGTGCTGGCGCCGCTGTGCGACGCCCCGCTGACCGTCGTCGGCTGCCGTGCTAAGGCGCGGCCCCTCGAACTTGCTCGGCATGCTTGCATGTGCGGCCGGCTGTCGACAGTGACTGCTGGGTTCGCTAATTTTTTGGCTCTGCGCCCCAGTCAGCCCGATCGACCCGCCCTCGGGACTTTTATTAGCGGGCCGCAGATAAAAAAAAAGTAGTCCCACTAGCGGGCGTTGCGCCCGCTCCATGTCCCTCGCCTTGGAGCCGCGAGCCAAAAGGCACCCCCACTAGCCCACCCAAAAACGATATCTGGGAGAGCTGACGGGCAAAGGGATGAAGAGACGCGCATAGTGAAACAGCGTGGGCAACAACGGTGAGTTGGGAGATCTCTGGTAGCAAATGGTGTGGGTGTTGCTGTTGGTGCTGTTGCTGTTGCTGGTGCTGATGGTGGTGGTGGTGCTGCTGCTGCTGCTCCAACTTCCGCCCCTCTTTCTCGCCGCCGTTGCCGCCGTCGGCATCATCGTCTTCGCCTTCGTCGTCGTCGACTCTGTCGTCGCTGCTTTCGCCGCGAGGGGGGGGGGGGGCGGAGGAGGCGGAGGAAGAAGTGGACAACGAGGATGAGGAGGAGGAGGAGGAGGAGGAGGAGGGGGAGGAGGAGGAGGAGGAGGAGGAGGGGGGGGAATATAAGGTGGGGGAGGGGAAACAAGGAACGGAGGAGGAGGATCAGGCTGAAACAATATAGGGAAGAGGATGAGGAGGCGGACAAAGAGGAGGAGAACGCGAAGAAGGAAGAGGAGGCGGATGAGGAGGGCAACTTGCGGTACCGAGGAACCCCACATTTTTATATTATGGCTGGAGTGATGATAGCTGAAGTGAAGTATGTGAGAATTATGTTAGCGGCCGCTACCCAGCCGATACAGTTGGCGACGCCAGTCAAAAGGAGAGTTGCGAGGCCGAAGCGGATAGCGACCGCACCCCCATCGCACCCCTGGTGGCGTCGAGAAAGTGCCACGCTTGCCGCGATATCCGTGGCCGAAACGGATAGCGACCGCACCCCCAGCGCACCCCCTTGTGGCATGGAGAAACTGCCGCGCTTGCCACACGTTGCGAGTCCGAAGCGCATAGCGACCGCCCCCCCAGCCCAATCCTTTGTGGCGCCGCGAAAGTGCCACGCTTGCCACGCGGTGCGTGGCCGAAACGGATAGCGGCCGCACCCCCAGCCCAATCCCTTGCGGCGCCGCGAAAGTGCCACGCTTGCCACGCTTGGCGAGGCCGAAACGGATAACGACCGCACCTCCAGCGCACCCCCTGTGGCCTGCCACGCTTTGCGAGACCGAAGCGGATAGAGACCGCACCCTCAGCGCACCCCCTGTGGCGCCGAGAAAGTGCCACGCCTGCCGCGCTTTGCGGCGCCGAAGCGGATAGCGATCGCACCCCCAGTGCACGCCTTGTGGCATGGAGAAAGTGCCACGCCTGCCACACGTTGTGAGCCCGAAACGGATAGCGGCCGCACCCCCAGCGCACCCCTTGTGGCGTCGAGGAAGTGCCACGCCTGCCACGCCTTGCGAGACCAAAACGGATAGCGGCCGCACCCCCAGCGCACCCCCTGTGGCGTCGAGGAAGCGTCACGCTTGCCGCGCTTTGCGAGGCCGAAACGGATAGCGGCCGCACCCCCAGCGCACCCCGTGCGGCGTCGAGAAACTGCCACGGCTGCCACGATTTCCGTGACCGAAACGGATATCGACCGCACCCCCAGCGCACCCCCTCTGGCATGGAGAAAGTGCCACGCTTGCGGGTCCGAAGCGCATATCGACCGCACCCCCAGCGCACACCCTGTGGCGGCGAGGAAGTGCCACGCTTGCCACGATTTCCGCGGCCGAAACGGATAGCGACCGCACCCCAGCGCACCCCCTTGTGGCATGGAGGAAGTGCCACGCCTGCCACACGTTGCGAGTCCGAAGCGCATAGCGACCGCCCCCCCAGCGCACCCCCTGTGGCGCCGAGGAAGTGCCACGCCTGCCACGCGGTGCGTGGCCGAAACGGATAGCGGCCGCACCCCCAGCCCAATCCTTTGTGGCGCCGCGAAAGTGCCACGCTTTCCACGCTTGCCGAGGCCGAAACGGATAGCGACCGCACCTCCAGCGCACCCTTTGTGGCCTGCCACGCTTTGCGAGACCGAAGCGGATAGAGACCGCACCCCCAGCGCACCCCCTGTGGCGCCGAGAAAGTGCCACGCCCGCCGCGCTTTGCGACGCCGAGGCGGATAGCGATCGCACCCCCAGCGCACGCCCTGTGGCATGGAGAAAGTGCCACGCCTGCCACACGTTGTGAGCCCGAAACGCATAGCGACAGCACCCCCAGCGCACCCCCTGTGGCGTCGAGGAAGTGTCACGCTTGCCACGCTTTGCGAAGCCGAGACGGATAGCGACCGCACCCCCAGCGCACCCCGTGCGGCGTCGAGAAACTGCCACGGCTGCCACGATTTCCGTGACCGAAACGGATAGAGACCGCACCCCCAGCGCACCCCCTCTGGCATGGAGAAAGTGCCACGCTTGCGGGTCCGAAGCGCATAGCGACCGCACCCCCAGCGCACACCCTGTGGCGCCGAGGAAGTACCAGCCACGCTTTGCGTGGCCGAAACGGATAGCGACCGCACCCCCCGCGCACCCCTTGTGGCGTCGAGAAAGTGCCACGTTTGTTACGCCCTGCGATGTTGGCGCGTCTAGGGGCCGCGCTGAGGGACCACCCCCTGCGCACCCCCTCCCCGGTGTCGAGAAAATGCCACGCTTGCTAGGCGTTGCGACATTGTCGCGTATGGAAACCGCGGTGAGGGACCACCCCCGGCGCACCGCCTCTGGCGCCGAGAAGGCTCGCATAGAGACCGCGCTGAGGGACCACCCCTGCACACCCCCGTCTGGTGTCGAGAAAGTGCCACATCTGCTAGGCCCTGCGACATTGGCGCGTATAGGGACCGCGCTGAGGGACCATCCCCTGCGCACCCTCTCTGGTGTCGAGAAAGCAGCTGAGCTTTGTTGTGCTGAGCTGAGCGTTGTTGAGCGGTGCTGTGCTGTGATGTGTTGTGTACGTGCTGTGTGTCAATGTGTTGTGTGCTGCGTGCTGTGCTGAGCTGTGCTGAGCTGTGCTGTGCTGTGCTGCGCTGCGCTGTGCTGCGCTGCGCTGTGCGGCGCTGTGTTGCGTGAGGAGGAGAAGGAGGGGTGAGGAGGAGACGCGGGTGCGACGCAGGAAGGAAGGAACCCATAACCCCACTAAGCATGTGGGGAAACACATGACGAACATAATAACCTGCTTGGATGTTTCTTGCGAGTTTTTGCAGGCCTCTTGGAACGTCTTGGGGCATCTTGGGTGCCTCGGGAGTCCGCTTGAAGTCTCTTGGGGGCCTCCTGGGGGTCTCTTGGGAGCCTCTTGGAGGCCTCTTGGGTCCGTCTGGGCGCCTCTTGGGGCCCTGTCGGGACGCTCTCGTGAGTTTTAGGGGCACTCTTGGCGCTATCTTGGAGGAGATCGATCAAAGAAGGGGGGGTTCTTAATTAGCGCTGCCCTTCCAGAGCGCCCAACATCGCCTCCAGAACCCCTCTTGGGGCGCTCTTGGGGCCGTATTGGGCCTCTTCGGAGCCCCTCTTGGGGCCCTCTTGGGCCATTTTGGAGCCATCTTTAGGCCTCGGATGGCCATCGGAAGCGAAAAGGCGAGACGGCAAACATCATTGATTTCCTTTAGGCTAAGGATGGTGGCTTCTTGGAAGCCTCATTGAGAGTCTCGGATGTCTCTTGGAGCCGTCTTGGAGCGTTCCTGGGGCCTCTCGGAGTATCTTGAGAGCCATCTTGACGCAGCTTGCGCTATCTTGAGCCATCTTGGAGGTCATCTTGGCCTGTCCGAGGCCCTCTTGGAGCCATCTCGGGCCATCTGAGATGCTTCAACCCCTCGCGACCACCCCCGTCCAGGTCCAGGGGAGGGAGTCGGGGGAGGGGTAAACCTCTCCCCGAAGGGGGAGAGGGGGGTTGGAAGAGGAAACTCCCTAAACCACCTACGCCCAGAGGGCTGGTGGGATTTCATTATCGATCTTGCAATCGATCTCACTATTGGGTTCACAATCGATATCATAATCGATCTCACTATCCCTTTCTGTCGATATCATCATCGATCCCACTGTGGACCCCAAGGTCGATCTAACTATCGATCTCATTATCAGTATCATTACAGATATCATTATCGATTGTACTATCGATCTCCCTATTGATCTCATTACCGATAGCACATCGATATTTCCAGGGATCTGACAATCGATCTCATTATCGATCTTACGATCGATGTCACTATCGATCGTACAGTCGATTTCACCGTCGATCTTACTATCGACTTCACCACCTATCAAACTCTCGATCCCTCTGTCGATCTCACTATCGGACTCCCAATGCGATCTCACTATCGAACTCCCTGACTATGGATCTCACTATCGATCTCATTACGGGACACCGGCGGGGCACCGACGGGACACCGACGGAAGTCTGACGGGACACAGACGAGCCACCCCGGGACACCACGGGACGCCGCGGGACACCATCGTGGCACCATGGCGGGACACCCCTGGCACCCACCCGCCAACCAGGGGGGCGGACTTCTACCCCAGCGGCGCCCTAGCCAGATGAGGGTTCATTCCTCTCGTCCGTCCACGCAGCTTCGCCTCGCCCACGCGCTCGACACGAGCACGAAACCGAAACCGATTTCTCGGTGGGAGATTCTCCGTTCCATTGCGATCTCACCCCGTCATGTCGGATTCTTCGAAAGGAGCTACGGTCCTTTATAGTGTGCTCCCGCTGCAGCATTGGCTGGCAACATTTCAGGATCGGCATTTTGCTCCTGTTGTTCGGGATGGCGCAATCGCCCCAGCGCACACTGTGCCTCTGGATATGACCCCTTCCTTGTCGTTGGCGTTCCCTTCCTTTCCTTCTGTCCGCCTGCCCCTGGTGCTCCTGCTCTTCCTGATGCCGCGATTCCTCCATCGCCCTCTCCTCTTTCCTCAGCCTCGTCCTCCCCCTGCCCGTCCTCCTCCATCCCCTCTGCTCTTGGAGAGCTCCTCCTCGCAGCAGCCTCAGCCGTGTCAGCAGGGCGGTCTGGGCGCCTCGCCTGATGCGTCACATTTACCTGGCATCGCTCGGACGTGTGTATTTTTCCTTCGGCGAGGACCATCGAGGAGCATCCTTGATCATTTGGCGAAAAAAACACGCATCAAAACCGAACAAAAACACAGAGAATGGACGTCCGAGCGAAGGCCAGTGTATGATCCTGATGCAAAGTTGAACTTTCCGGCAGCTGCACGGCTGGAGGGAGGGCGGCTTTCCACCAGCTGCTCTCTCGCTCGTGTCGCGCATGGTCATTTCAAAAGCTTGCAGAGGTTCGCAAGATGGAGGGGTGGCGGTTCAGAACATGATTCCTCCGCCCTATCGCCGCGCAGATCTGTTTCCAATGCTTGCATTAGATGGAAGTCTTGCCATAGCGTCGGGCACATTCGTCTGGCATATTGCAATATTTAATTACTGGGTTGGAGGCCGGTTCCTGATCAAAGTAGGACTCTCGCCTGAGATTTCCTCAGTTCTAGATATTTGAAAATCGAACACATGTAACCGCTGCTCGGATGGATGGCGGCTCATCTTCAAATTGGGGTTCTTGCTTTCGACGTCCTCGAAGGTGATGACCATCAGTGTAAACTTCTGCAGCCGTTGCACAGCTCGGGGCGTGTCTTCTTCAATACGGAACTCTCGGTGGACACATATCAATACGGATGATCATACCTTGTGGCATTCCTTTTGAGTCGATCGAAGGACGCAGGGCTGCTCCTTACCTAAACGGGGCTCTCGACTGCTGGTCTTTTTGTCAAGGGGGGCTTCTTGAAGCGAAACGGAAGGGCTGTGGGGACTTCTGAGTGGGGCACTGGGGACGGGAGGGTGTATTGCAAAATCGTTGATGCATCTTGGTTTTATACCCCGGACCTCCCCTCTCTCCAACGTGCAAGGCACCCCTGTCTGCTTGCGCATCACACAATGGGGTCATTCGGGGTGTCATGATTGTCATGATCCTCTAGGACACCCCGGTTGGCGGATAGCAGCTGGTTCACAGCGATGGAAGAGGATGGGTGTGAGGGGTAGGATGCCAAAGACGGCGCGAGCGTACTGAGGCTTGCCCTCCCAGTTCTCCCTTTCCCCCCCCCTGCGGCCCCATCACCTCCTCCCCGTTCCCCTCCGTGTTTCCAGTCCCCGTCCTGTTTCTCAGCCCTCCGATGTGGTGATTTTTGTGATGACGTGGGCCGGCCCCCAGCGGTCTGGACCCATTCCCCGGGGCACGTTTTTCAGGCAAGGGCCTTCGCAGGCCGTGCAGCAAGTCCCCGCCCCGTCGTTTTGTAGGTGTCATGACCCGAGGAGGTCGGGTATTCTTGTCCGCCCTCCTGCCTGCCCCCTCCCCCCCGTGGACCAGCCGCCCCTCCCTCCCCTGCGCTCCCTCCGCTCCTCGCGTCGGGCCCTCGCTGTTTGCGTTTCACCCTTCCCTGATATCCGACGTTGCAACAAAAAGCAACACGGGAACAAATCACGACCTGATTCCTGGACGCCGTCTTTTTGCGCATTTCTTCGAGTCGCATCGATCTGTGAGGGAGCAATGGCCCGAAACAGGTCGAAAGCGCCCGTGGTGGAACAATTGAAACGCCAGGATTTCAGAGTTCCTCGGACCTGCGTCTCCAGAGGCAGGTCAATCTGCTCTTTAGGATGGCGTGTCCGACTCGTGCAAGTTGTTCTTGCATGGCGCTCCCCCCCCCCCGCGCCTCCCTCCGCCGCCTTTTCGCACAGCGCTGGGCCAAAACGGCGTGCAAGTGAGTCCCGACTGGGGTGAAGTCGGATTTGTCTTTCGGGCCTCGCCACTCTAACATGGAAGTGAACTTGCAGAAGCCTGAACAAAAGCAGCCTCTAGGAGAGCGTTCTTTCATTTCCGGGCGAGAGCGGACATCATCGGGGAAGGGGGCGGGGGGTATAGGGGGCGGGGGGCCGGTAAGGTCACGTTTCGCGCCAGCGCCGTTCGGGAATGTCTCGGAACCACCAGAGCCACTTCGGAGGCCAGCACGACTCGTGACGTTGCCTGGGGAGGGGCCCCGCCAACGGCCGCGAGCAACAGAGAACACGCTCTCCTCAGAGCCCCCCCCCGCGCCGCCGGCAGGACGTGCTGAAGCACCTGCCCGGCCCCGGCGCCCTGCCGGGGCTCGCCGGCATGCCCCCGGGGGCGCTGCACGGGCTCGCCGGCATGCCCCCCGGGGCCCTGCCGGGGTGCGCGGGGGCAGAAGCCCAGACCCGGACCCCCCCGCGTCGCTCGAGGGGAGAGGCGCGGGGACCACGGCCGAGCCGGCGCGGGATCCGTCGGCGCCGCTCTTGGTCGTGGTCCGTGCTGGCTGCGCAGATTCGCGGGGCTTGCTCACGAAGTGACGCTGACCAAGATGGACGGTGAGGAGAGTCGACGGGACATTTCCGCGCTCAGTCTCGGTCATGGTCCCCGTTGTCTGGCCTTTTTCAGTCGTGAAATGATCTCGTACGTTCTCCATTTCGGGCTTCTGGGGGCCCTTGCCGCGCCTCGGGGCCGTCAGGAAGCGGCGCAGGATGAGAACCTGGCCGGGGGGAAAGGGTCCAGGCCTATGGATGTTCCACGCCACGAGACGAATTCACGACGTCGGGGTTCTGGGCACATCGGGCGCCGCCACCTGGGGGCAGGAGTCCTACGTACGCTTCCTCTCGTGGTGGGGGGCGGTGGGTTGTCGCCTCCTGCGTTCCTTCGGGCGTTCCGACCGCGTCTTGTCCGCGTTGTGGCGCGTCACGCGTGGCGATGCTCGGCACATCATGGATCTCAAGAGGCTTTTTTTGCGGGCGTGCCCCGGGCTGCGGCACGTCCGCCACCATGGCCTCGAGGGACTCGTGTTGGAGTGTCCTCAGCGCACTTTGAGTCTTTAGACCCGAGTCCTGAACTAAGGAGTAGTTACGGGCGGCCTGGACCCCCCCAACTCAAGGGGTGTGCTGCGGGGCCCTCAGGACTGCCTAATTAGGAGAGGCAGAAGGCTTTTCGTGTTCTGGTGGTTCTTGTACTATGCTAGGCGTTCTCGCCTTCTCGGGCTTCCGACCCACACGCTTTCGGTCGCACTCGTTGGGGGACGGGCAGTGCAGTGCAGACATCGTCGGGCGCCGCCTCGGAGAACTCGGGGCGACTGGCCCTGGGGAGGGATGGGGTAGGGAGTCAGTACGATCGAAACGGGTACGGAAAGAATGGTGACGAAGACGGACAGCAGTTTCCGTCCATCTTGAAGAGGGCTCGCTGTCGGTGTCGCCGCGGACGATGTCCATTTGAGATGGAAGACCGCCTGGCCAACAGCGGCCGTTGTTGGTTTGGGACAACATCTGCTGTTGTGCATCGTACCCTTTTCCGTACCATTTCGGTCGTCCAAGGGGAGGTTTGGGGGCCCACGCGTCGAAGACAGTTGAAGCATTGGGTGCTTGGGTAGCCCCGAGAAGAGATCAGGGTCGATCAAGCCCAGCTGCACGCGCGCTTGTGCTTCCACGTGGGGGCTTTTTGGTCTCGTGCTGTCCTGGGATGTGGCAGGTGGAGTGTGGTCAGACACCGTCCTGGGAGACCTACAGTCGGCCCAGATTAGTAGGTCGGCTCTGCCAAGTCAAAGGCACGTTTATGTCCTGTGTCTCGCGACCCGTGCCTCCTGCATTCCTATGGCAATGTGGCCCTCGGAAGAGTCTTTTGTCCTCTCGCGTGTCCTGTCCGATGAAGTCCAACTGTACTGAGAGACCTAGTCGAGATTCGAAGACGAGCGCGTTTCTGATCAAGACGACAAGACACGGCATGCCGAGGCGCTGCCCGGGACGGTCCGTTGGGGCAGATCCCAAGCCGAGCCCAGACAGAACGCCTCCCTCGTTTGGTGCAGGAGGGAAAAACACACACAGACACAATTAATTGTCGACCCCCCAGAGAGAAACTATGGGAAGTGGGGGGGGAAGTGGGGGAAACTATGAACAAAAAAAACATAAGGGGAATCCTGTTATTTGTGTGTATTCATTTGTGTGTCACAGGGCCCCTTCATTGGTTTGGTTCGGGCCTCCCCCTCAGGCAGACCGGCAACATTTGGTCCTTACCCCCCCTGGGGGCCTATCGGCCTCGGCGACCCTCTCGACAGATCGTCTATATGGTAGGTTCTCCCAGGGCTGTAAGGAAGAGGTCCTCGTCGCTGCCGCCGCCGCCGCTAGCGGCGTCGGCGTCGGCGTCGTCGTCCTCGTCCTCGTCGTCGTCGTGATCGATCGTCGTGGTCGTCGGCGTCGTCCGCCTCGTCTCTGGAGGTCTCGCTGGAGCCCTCCAGATACTTCTGGAGGCTTTGCAGGAACTGGGCGGCGCGCACGAGGGGCGTGGCGCACGAGGGGGGAGGCCTTCCGTGAGGGCCAGGGGGGGCTTCTCGAGAAGCAGGGCCGCTTTGGCGCGGGCCCCGGCCCGCGCCACGCGCGGCGGCGGCGCCTCTCGAGGAACCGCCTCCCGAGCATGCCGCGGCCCGCGGCCACCCCGGGCTGCGCCCGGGGCTTGGTCGCCGCCATCGTCGTCGTCGTCGCCGCCGCCGCCGCCGTCGTCTGCGTCGTCGTCGTCGTCGTCGTCGTCGTCGTCGTCGTCGTCGTCGTCGTCGTCGTCGGCGCCGTCGTGGTCCGCTGGCCAGACGGCCAGGCTCGGGCTGCCGCCCGCGGGCCTGCCGCCCCTGGGCCTGCCGCCCTCGGCGCCGCCCCCGCGGCCGCCCGGGGGCGCGCTGCCGCAGCCGGCGCCCCAGGAGCCCCCGCGCCTCCGCGGGGGCTGTGATGCTCCAGCCTGCTGCAGGCTGTGATTCCGTTGTGAGCACCAGGTAAGGGTCCCCAAACTCGAGCCTTCAGCCTGGTCAGCCTTCAAACCAGGGGGCTGTGATGCTTCAGCCTGTTGTGAGCACCAGGAGAGTGCCCCCCGAGCTCGAGGGTTTTCTTCGCGTGTCGGGCGGGGACGCGCGGCCGACACTGCCGTGGACGCTCTTTCGGCACTCTTTTGACACTTTTCCGGGTGCCCGAAATCATTTCTGGGATGTGGCCCGGAAGTGCGATGGGAGCAACATAGCGCGTGGGGTGTCTTCGAGAAGCATTGGCGAAGCGCCGTGGTCTGCCTGCAGTCGGACCGAGGCATTCGGAGGAGGAAGAGGTGCCGATACTGATGATTGCCCTCGCCCCGTTTTCCCCTTTTTGAGCCTCCTGGGCGGTCCCCGTTGCCTCTGCTGGATGCACCTCGAAGTCCTGGCCAAGCGTGAGGGCCTTGTTTCGGGGAAGCGCAAGGCTCGACGGTGGGTGGACTAAAAGTGTCCACGCGTCTCGCCAAGAGCTTGAGTTATCTAAGCATGTCTGACGAAAATGCATACCCCCCTTCTCCAACATTCAAAGTTGACGGTCTTGGGGCAGTAGGCCAAAGGCCAGGGACAACATGTGGACACTTCAACTTTGGGTTTTGGGGGGAGTGGTGCGAAGCAAGAGCATTTCGCAATTGTGGTTCTTGTCACGTTGCATCGCCTTACCGCCATGGGTGTGGACACCTTTTGTCTGGGTTCCGTAGCTCGCCAGAACTCTAGCTTGCCTACGTTTTTCGATGGGCCCGTCCTGGGTTTTGGCGGTTCAGTTCTCGTGGGATTTACGCAGAGGGAGCTCGCGCCAAATTTCAGCCTTGGTCTCGTCATTTTCCTGACGGCCCCGTCAGGTCAACCCGAGTCCCCCGAAACCGAGTCTTACACATGTTCCCGGCTATTGTGCTTGCAGGCGTAGCTTGGTGTTCGCGCGCGTACTATGGCGATCGCAGCGCACCCCCGCCCCGACATGCCCCAACGCGCCCAAGCGTTACCGTTTCCCGGCCCCCCCCCCGCCCGCCCCCGGATAACGGTCCTTACGCGGCAATAATAAACAACAGTCTCTGAGGGATGAGGCCCCGAGGACAAGCGGCGTCGAACTTGAAGCCGGCTGGGGTGCTGAGGTGGCCCAGCACTGGTTTTGGCTAGCAGAACGGGGGGAGAAAGGGCCCTCCTCGTCGCCACGCTGGACACGGCTCGAACGACTGGTTAGTTTCGAAGCTGGGGACCGATTTCGAGCGGATTTGCCCTCAGCCCTCCTCCTTAGCCGTTTTTCTCGGGGCCTCATCTTTTAGGGCCCAACGTATGAACCGCCGAATACGGGTTGGGGGCGGTCAGGAGCGGGGTGATGATCAGGGGGCGGTGGATATCATGGCCACGGCCATGATACCTCCCCAGATGTTATGGTGCCTCTTCTTCTTATTTTATGGCCGAGTACGTCCCCTGTCCCCCCTGGGCCGCGCATGCCTCGGGCCATGATCTGCGACCCCCCCTCTTAGGCGCCCCCCAACGGGGGTGAAGGGGCGAAATGGTGCCAGAAAGACTGGAAGCGGATCGGGCCCCTCGCAGAGCCCAAGCTGCGGCCCCAGCTGGGCGCGGCCGCACGCGGGCGTTGCACTGGTCTCGCTGCACCCTCCGCACGCCTCGCGCCACATCCTCGATGGAAGAAGACGGGGTCGTCTTCACCGACACTGGCGCTTCAGCGTGCCGCGTAAGGTCGCGCGTGAGCGCCCTCGTCTCCAAGGGCAGCGTGCCGCCCTGGCGGCCCGCGTGAGCCTCCGCCTCGGGTCACTATGTCGCCTTGCGCAAGATCCGTGTCCGTCGCTCACATGGTGAAGCCTCGGGTGCTGCCGCAGTGGGCACGGTCGCACGTGGGCCCCACGCCCGTCTGGGCACTCTCCACGCGCACCGTGCCACGTAGTCCATGTGACACTGGGCCACCCAACTGCGGCCACACGGCCGTACGAGTCGGCGGCGCGCCCAGGGGGGTCGGCAGAGAGGGGGCGGGCCGAGGCCTTTTGACAAGCTTTGTGAGCCTGCTCCGAAGCCACAGGGTTTTCAGAAGGTCCGGGCGCGCCGCCGAACGAAGTCCAACACCAGCTCCTGTCCATTCTGAACTGGATTCGCTGCCTGTGTCGCCACGGACGCGTCCGTCTGGGACACACGTCGCTTTCCGACGGCGGCCGCCGTCTTTGGTGGACGCCGTTCGCTGTTGGGCATCGTGCCAATTTTTGCCAGACCCATTTCGGGCGTTCAGGTGGCGCCACAGGATCGGTCTTCTAAGAATTCGGTGGGCTTCTTCGAGGGGTTTTAAAGGGGCATCTAAGAGCGCTTCTCAGAAGCTTCCCTGGCTGCTAAGAGGTCTCGTGCCTTCTAAATTAGACGCCCCCCCACCTTCTTAGAACACGTCCTTCCTGTTGGCCCGTCGTGCGCACCGCCGAGTCAGATGGGCTCCTACTCGGGAGTCTCGTCGAATTGCCACCATGAAGAACGTACATCCTCCACGGGCCTAAGTTCCTAGAAACCTGCCAGCACAGCATTCGCCGGCCCAACGGGCCAGGGCGTGCTAAGATCTCCGGTAACTGGTTAACAGTATTAACAGTATTTCTAGTTCGCGCGCGCGGGGCGGCCCCTGGGGGTCCCCGGCGAAAAGTACCCCGACCAACGCCCGGTCGCCGCCCGCCGCCCGACCGCCGCCGCCGCCCGACCAAGTCTACTCAGAGATGGTTTTCCTTCTGGGTGCGGCCTCTCAGGCTCCCCAGAGCGCGCTCAGAGTGCCCCAAGAGGCCCCCAAGACTGCCCAAGAGGCCCCCGAGACGCCCAAAGAGCGCTCGAAGACGCCGAAGATGACCCCAAGACGGCCCAAAAGGCCCCCAAGACAGCCCAAGAGGCCTCCAAGACGCCCCAAGAGCCTTCCAAGAGGCCTCCGAAGAGAGCCCCAAGAGGCCAAAATCGTTGATTTTCATTGGTTTTTTCGATGTTTTTTGTGTTCTGGCTTTTTCGGCTTCCGGACGCTCCAAGACGGCCCAAGAGGCCCCCAAGACCGCTCCAAGACGGCCCACGAAGCTCCCAAGACGGCGCCGAAACGACCCAAGAGAGCCCTCAAGACGGCCCAAGTGCCGCCCAAGACGGACCAAGAGGCCCCAAGACGGGCCCAAGAGGGACTCAGGAGGGATACCGAGAACTCAAAAATGGAGCCCTCCGTCCCAGAAGGCGCCCAGGAGGTCCCAAAGAGGCCCCAAGAGGCCTCCAAGAGGCCCCAAGATGTCGCCAAGAGGCCCCAGGAGACTCCCAGGAGGCCCAAAAGAAGCCCCAGAAGGCTTCAAACATGTCTCCCAGGCGCCCCCGAACGGCCTCTCAACAGACCCCAAGAGGCCCCCCAAAGAAGCATCTTGACGACGACTCTATTTCGCCCCATCGAGAGACGACCCCCAGGGAACTGCTTCACCATCAAAACTCCCCACGCAACGCGTCCGAACGACACCCGCCCCCAAGAGCGCAACATGGGCAACGAACACGCAGACAAAAACCAGCGATGCCATATCACGGGCCGGCGGAATGAGCGAAGCGATTCAATAATTACCTCGTTTCTGGCCTCCCGCAGTCAGACAGCAGGATTTCCCATGCAGGGTTGCCTTTGGGGTGGTGTTGGGCTGTCGAGACAGGATCTTAGGAGGGAAGTTGGCCCGGGACCTGAGAGGAAAACGGAGAGAAAGGTTCCTGGGAGAAGGGGTCCTTGCTCTTGAAGGAAACATGAGGACATGGGCCAGGAGAGAAAGGAACGGATTGCTCTGCGGGCCCCACGCTTGCGGGAGACCCTTTCACCACAAATAGCGTAGATGCTTCACGTGTGTGACGCCCCTGCCGACCTGCATACCTCACCTCCCCTGCCGACTGCAGACAGCAGGGTGATCCGCAATGCATATTATTATGAGGCGGAGGAGGAGGAGCAGGATCGGGAGGAGCAGGAGGAAGATGAGGAAGAGGAGGAGGATGAGGAGGAGGAGGAGGAAGTGGATGATGAGGAGGTGGAGGAGGAGGAGTTGTTGTTGATGATGATGATGCTGATGATGCTGCTGATGATGACGATGCTGATGATGGTGATGATGGTGATGGTGATGATGCTGGTGATGATGATGATGTTGCTGACGATGATGATGCTGATGCTGATGATAATGATGATGATGATGATGATGATGATGATGATGATGATGATGATGATGATGATGATGATGATGATGATGCGGATGCTGATGATGCGGATGATGATGATGATGATGCGGATGATGATGATGCTGATGATGATGATGACGATGATGATGATGCTGATGCTGCTGCTGCTGATGATGATGATGATGCTGATGATGAGGATGATGGTGGTGGTGGTGATGGTGGTGGTGGTGATGATGATGATGATGAGGAGGAGGAGGAGGAGGAGGAGGAGGAGGAGCCGTTGCATGGCATTTGCAGAGAAGTCTTGGCGCCCTTCAGACGGTCGCCCCGGCAACGGGGGGCCGAGGCGCACCCTCCGCCGTGTGCCAGGAGGGAGAGAGGGGGCCCCGGGGGACCAGGGGGGCAGGGTGCAGAGAAGGGTTCGTGGGAGAAAGCGGAGCGCCCCCCCGGCCGCACGGCCGTGCCTCCGTCGGCGGCGAGCCCTGGGGAGAAGTCAAAGGGGGCGGGCCTGCTAAGAGGGCTCGGAGGGCCTCGGGCCTTCCGAGGCGTTGTCTCGGCCTCTCCCGAAGACGCAGGCAACTTCGCAGTGGGCCCCGTGGCCTGAGGGAAGGATGCACCTGACGCACGAAGCCCCCACGATCTGCGAGCGGGCCTGGGACGGGGCCCAGAGCGAGGCTGGCCCGGAGATCAGGGGGCTGGCGTTGCGAGTCGAAGCGTATGTTCGCGATCGTTTAGGGGGAGAAGAGCAGCCTTGGAGAAAGGGGAGCGACCCCCTGGCCTCGCGGCCATGTCTCTGTCGGCGGCGAGCCTTGGGGAGAAGTCAGAAGGGGCGGGCCTTCTTAGAGGGCTCGGAGGGCCCCGGGCCGTCTGAGGCGTTTTCTCGGCCTTCCCCGAAGACGCAGACCATTTCTCAGAAGGCCAGGAGGGTTCTGAGAAGCCCCGCCGCCTTCTGAGAAGGCTTGGCTCACCCCCCCGGGGCGCGCCGCCGTGGTTCGAGCAGATGGGGTCGGACTATCGCGCCGCATCGTCGATATATCGCCGCTGCGGTTTGATGTGGAGCCAGATTTTTCCTACGTCGACGTCGCCGATGCGGCGCGATGCTCCGACCCCATCTATTCGGATCCCATTTGGGAGACCTCTCATGCCAGGATTCGGGAGGCGAGGTCGAGCAGTGCATCGACGAGAGGTGGAGGGGGACGGGGGTGCCCCGTAAAGCTGGCACGAGGGTAAAGAACAATCTGGAGGGGTACAGTGGAAACCCGTGCCAAGAAACACCCTGCTTGCCTCCAGGGTGCCCTGGGTTTTTTGGGTGTTGATGGTTTTGCGATACACAGCGTGACGTTCCCACACCAAACATCGATGGATGTTCTGGGGTTTCAGGGTTGGGTTTCTTGTGGTCGAGCTCCTTTTGTAAAGAGCACTCCTAGCTTTGGATGGGGTACCCCTCTGTTTTTCGTGCCTGGGTGTTCTTGCACTTTGGCGTGGTTCTCGTGTTGGGTATCCCCATGGCGCCTGGGCCCTTCGGCGAGGGTGCCCAGGCTCTTGGCCCACGCTCCTGAAGCTGTGCTGCGACTGGAAGGCTGGCGTACCCTCTCTCCGCGGGACTTCCGAGCTCTGGAAAGGCACGATGGGGCCCAGCAGTCGCCCTCGCTCCCCCTTCTCGGAGGGGTCTCTCTCTCTCTCTCTTTCTCCCGCTCAGTGGTGAGGTGCCCTTCTCCTCGTTCTGCTTCCTCCCCCTTCTCCTCCCCCCGTCTCCTCCCTGGTCTTCTCCTTTCTCTCCTCCGCCACCCCCTCGTCCCTCCCAGCGGCTTCGAGCTCCCTTCGCATTGTTGGCGGGATTGTTGTTACTCCTCCCACTGCTGAGATGGAGTTTCACTAGTTTTGTTTGCTGCTCCAGTCCGCTGCAGGTCGTACAACGTGACCGAACACATAACAAGACACGCGTGCTGTCTGTGCCAGCCGCGTTGTCAACATCGCAGTTGCCGCATGCTTGGTGGCAAGCACAAGCGAAGTGTGATGTTCCATCTTAGTGATCAGATCACCGGCAGTCGCAGTAAATGGTATGTTGCCACATCGTTCCTCATTCCGTGCGTTACCCCAGTATGCGTTTCCCCGTTCAGCTCCGCCCATGGCACGCGGCTTGTGGCGACCCGCATTACGCCGCCTCCTTCGTATTGAAGGGCTTCGGTGGACAGGCACACGCCGGCGTGCAGGATTTATGTCCACGGCGACTGCGTCTCAAATTTCTGGACTCCCTTCCCCCGAGACGCGGTGGACGTGGACGACAACCTGGCCTCTGGCGAGGCCATTCTTTACACATACATGCATTGTGCCTATGGTCCGCTGGAGTCCCTGACCAGCACGTCCAAGACGCTGTGTATATGGATCGGCGGCGAGCGAGGGGGGGAAGTGAGAAGGAAAAGGAGGCGGCGGGACTTCTCAGAAGCCTCTTGGCCTCCTGAGAAGTTCTCTGCGTCCTCGGGGGAAGGCTCAGAAGACTTCTCAGAATGAAGGGGGACGTCTTAGCCTGCTGAGAAGGTCCGCCCCTTCTGACTTCCTCCCCAGGGCTGGCCGCCGAATGGATACAGTGGGGCCCATGCCAAGAAACACCCTGCTTGCCTCCAGGGTGCCCTGGGTGTCGTGGGGTTCGATGGTTTTTCGATGGAAAGCGTGACGTTCCCACACCCAAAATCGATGGACGTTCTGGGGGTCACGGTTGGGTTTCGTGTGGAAGGTGTTTTTGTGGTCGAGCTCCTTTTGTAAAGAACACTCCTAGCTTTGGATGGGGTGCCGCTCTGTTCTTCGTGCCTGGGCTTTTTGCACCTTGGCGTGGTTCTCGTGCTGGGTATCCCCACAGGGGCCTCTACTGTACAGACCTCGCCCGCAATGTGGGGCACCGAGAGCGCGCTCGGAGGATCCCCGTCGAACCGTGGGGGGGGGGGGCGCCCGCCCGCCGCAGGATGCGGCGGCGACGGACACCTACCGGTGGAAGCAGGACCCATCGCTGCGCTCCGAGCTCCTGCGGGGGTGGGGGTGGGGGAGGTCAAGTCCGACCGAGGTAAAGGATCGAGGCCGGTTCGGGGAGGGTGCACCCAGGAGTAGATCGGGTCGGACGATCGCGCCGCATCGCCGATGCATCGCCGCAGCGGCCCGATGTGGAGCCCGAGTTCCTTCCCGCGGACGTCGCCGATGCGTCGCCCACGTCACCGATGCATTGCCAGTGCATCGCCGATGCATCGCCGGTGCATCGCCGATGTATCGGCGATGCGGCGCGATTCCCCGACCCCAGCTGCTCGGACCCCGTCTAGGAGGCCTCTGGAATGTCCTTCGTGCTTGCTGGTATTATTGTGCATCGTGGGGAGGGCACCCTTGGATGTTCTGTGTGTTCTGGCTGGCGGAGGGCCCCATGTTCTCGAAGAGTGTGATTCTGTCTCAAGTCCGCTTGTACCCTCCTTCCGCAGCCCCTGCTCTCGAGGGAGCGCAGACGCGGACTCAGGCGCGCGGATTTGCGAGGGGGGCCCTGATACCGGGCAGAATCGGCGCGCTTCGTCGCCAGGTGAGGCGGGATTGGGTCCTGTTGTTTTGGAGCAACCTTCCCCGATGCATGGGTCTGGCTCCCACGCGTCGGATCCCCACTTCCCTGATCCTTGCCAGCGTTTGCCCGATGATCCTACTCCTGGTTGTGCGCGTGCTTATGTTCCCGCTCCTGCTCCTTCTCCCACTGGTCCTGCTCCCCCTGCTCCTGCTCCTCTCCTGTTCCTGCTCCTGCTTCTGCTTCTGCTTCTCCTGCTCGTGCTCCTCCTGCCCGTGCTCCTGCTGCTGCTTTTGCTCCTCGTGCTCCTGCTGCTCCTGCTCCGCTGGGCGCTGCCCTCGCCGCTCCAGTTGCCAGGGTGGCGCTTGGGGGGAGTGGGGCATCCTCCCGGAGCGGACGAGAGTGGGTGGGCCGACAGGGACGTCGGACGAACGGGGCTCCGGGCTCGAGGTGTTCGGGCGTCTCCGTCGGTTCGCGGCGGTGTTCCAGCCTCGGGAAGCTTTCCAGCAGCTGCGCCTCGCCGCGAGCCCTCCGGGGGTGCCCGAAGCGTCGTGGCCAGATGACGTGGATCACCTGGATCGGACGAACGGAGAGCATTCGGACAGGGCAGTTGCGATCGCCGGTCTGTGCCTCCTGGTAGCCTCCTGGGCCCCTGGGTCCGTCAAACGAACATCCGGGATGAGAAGCCGATCCCAGGGAAAGCCCGGGCCGAGGGTCCAGCACCCTTCAGGACCCCATGCCAACACCAGTCACCTGTAGGTGCCCCTATGCCTCCCTGATAGCAGGGCCTCGCGATTGCAGAGGCAAGACCGTCCTCCTCATCCTCATCCTCCTTGCAATCCTCCTCACCCCATTCGTCATCGTCCCTGTCGTCCCCATTATCGTACCCTTGCTGCTCTTGCTCCCTCTGTTTTGCTCCATCCTCCGTCTCCTCATGCGGCCGCGCAAGGACACCGACGAGGTCGAGGTGTCAGTCAGCGTTCCACTCACCGCGCTCGACTCAGAGGGGCCTCGTAGCTCGAGTTGGGCGAGGGCATAAGGAGGAGGAGGAGGAGGACACAGAAGGGCAGTGGCAAGGGAAGCAGTACGGTGATCAGAAACATGCTCACGAGGAGACGGTCTCGGGGATGATGCTGATGACGATGACGATGACGATGATGATGATGGTCGTGGTGGTGGTGGTAATCATGATGATGATGATGACGACGACGACGATGATGATGATGATGATGATGATTATGATGATATTGATTGATGGATTGCTTGATGAGGATGGTGATGTTTTTGATGCTAACGATGTTGATGATGATGGTGTTGATGATGATGAGGATGCTGATAATCATGATCGTGATGATGGTGGTGATGATGATGATTCCGATTATGCTGATTGATCATGGTGGTGATAACGATGTCGGTGGTGATGCTTATGCTGATGCTGATGCTATTCATGCTGCTGCTGTTGCTGCTGCCAACGATGATTGGCGATGACGATTGTAATGATAGTGGTGATGATGATGGTGATGCTGATGATGATGAGGGTGATGATGGTGATGATGATCATGCTGATGATGATGATGATGATGATGATGATGATGATGATGATGATGATGATGATGATGCCGATGCTGATGATATTGGTGATGCTGCTGATGATAGTTGCGATGATGATTATGATGATGCAGACGATTATGGGGCTGTGGCGAAGATGGTGATGATAGCCATGGTGAGGATATCGATGGCTCGGGCGATGACGAAGACGAAACACATGACGATGACGATGATGATGCTAATGATGATGCGAATGGTGTTGCCTCTGGGTGATAGTGATGGTGACGACGATGATGCATCTTGTGAATGTGGTATTGAGCTTGATGTGTGGACGGACGATGGACGGGATAATGCTTATGTTGAGATGAGGATGATTTTGATGGCAAAGATGATGCCACTGATGCTTGTGATGATGACGAAGGTGATGTTGACGATGCTGATACTGATGATACTGGTGAGGCTTCTGATGACGATGGTCGCGATGCTGATTTTGGCGATGATGACGATTTTTCGAATGTGATGGTGATGGTGGTGAGGGCGATGCTGATGACTATGATGATGCTGAAGATGATGATGATGATGCTGATGATGATGATGACGCTTATGATGGTGATGCTGATGCTGATGGTGATGCTGACGATACTGATGATGACTTTGATGATGACGGTCGAGCTGGTGATGATGTTCCTGATGATGACGATGTTGCCGATTTGGATTAGCATGGTGGTGGTTATGATGATGACGACGACGATTATGACGACTCGCATGATGATGACGCCGCTTTGTACTTTGAAGATGATGTCAATGATGATGATGACGATGATGATGATCATGATGTTGATGGCAATGCTAATAATGATGATGATGATGATGATGATGATGATGATGATGATGATGATGATGATGATGATGATGATGATTATGGCGATGATGATGCTGATCCTGCTGATGATGCGATGATGGTGACGCTGATGATTATGATGATGGGGATGATGATGGTGATGCTGTTGTTGGTGATGCTGCTGACGATGCTAAAGATATTGGCATCCTGGATCAACACATACACATCTCCACCGCGGGCTGGTTTTCTGTCATGGGGGTTGATTGGATTATTGTTTCGACGGTGGGTTGCTTGGTGCGCCAAATCTCGCGATAGTGATCTGTCGCGTGTGCAGCGTCATTTTGGCACGCGGCTGCACGCTCAAAAAACAACACATTCACGTGTTGTATAGTTCGGGGTGGTGTATAACGTCCCCTTTGTGGGCCCATCGTTTTTATACACCGCCACCGTGTTGCCATAGGGCGCTTGGGAACAATTATTTATTCGCGATCGCGCCATGTGTGCGCATGACCACGTGGTAAGTACTTGCTCTTGGCGGGGCAGGCAGTGACACCCTTGCCGGGGCGGTCGCGCGCAGGATGTGTCCTTTCCTATGGCTGCCTGGTGGTGGCGCATATTTGGGGGTCCCGCAGATGATGATACTGATGCTGATTACGGTGCTGCGGATTACGACGGTGATGGTAATGATATTGCTGATGAGGATAGTGATTATGATGTATGATCGCGATTGTGGTGACGATGCTGATTCGTGCGATGGTGGTGTCTTTACTGACGACGACGATGGTCTCGATAATGATGATGCGTGTTGTAACACTGACAGCGATGATGCTGCTGATGATGATGGTCATGGTGATGGTGATGGGGTGATACGAGTGATTATGGTGGTGATGGCGACGAGGATCATGATGCTGCTGATGTTGATGGCAATGATGGTGGCACCGATGAGGATGGTGATGATGATGACGGCGATGATGCTGATGCTGCTGATGATGTGTATTGTGCTGGTGGTGACGCTGCTATCGGTGACGTGGATGATGGTTCTTGCGATGATGCTGAGTGTGTTGGTCCTGGCGGTATTGGTGGAGATGGTGATGACGAAGATGGGCATTTATTATGGTGGTGGTGATATACGGAGGCTGAGGTTGAGGATGATGGTGATGATGGTGATCGTGATGATGATGGAGATGAAAACGGTGATGAAGATATTGGTGACCATGATGATGATGATGATGATGATGATGATGATGATGATGATGATGATGATGATGATGATGATGATGATGATGATGATGATGCTGTTGATGACGGTGGTGATGATGGTGATCGTGATTGCTTTGCTGGTGCTGATGGTGGTGGTGGTGGTGGTGGTGGTGTGGCTGCTGCTGATGATGCTGATGCGGATTGCGATGGGAAGAAGAGGGCTCGTCGACATTGTACGTGCCTGGGTGCTTGTTGTTCAAGTATTCCTGCGCCTGCGATTTGCGCTGGCTCCTTGTCTCAGTCCAGCTCCTCCCGCGTCTCGCCTCGCTGCTGCTGCTGTTGTCCCTGACCCTGCATTCTGCTCCTGCTGCTAGTCTGGACTCGTCTTATGTTTTCCTCCCCCTTCTCCTCCTCGCGATTCGCGGCTCGGAACCGCCGCGAGCGCAGACATGTGGTTGTAGCGTGACTCGCCTGCGCATCACGTGTGTAAGGCCACGGCTCTCACTCCCTGGCCTGATGGGCACAATCGGGATCCAGGGGAGCGCGCACGACTCTGGCGGTCGTGTCGCTTCGCTTCCTCACAACCCGCGGCTCTCGGACCGAGGCGGTCAAGGGCGAGGTGAAAGTCGTCATTCAGCCCCGCTGTCTGAGATTGCTGCACAGGCGACGCGCGCAACGACCTTTTATTGAAAGCGTGCGAGATCGGTGAGCATGAGAAGAGGGATGAAACGGAGCAGGAGTCCGAGGAGGAGGAGGGGGAGGAGGAGAAGGAGGAGGAGGAGGAGGAGGGAGAGGAGGAGGAGGAGGAGTTGGAGGAGAAGGTGGAGGAGGGTGATGAGTAGGAGGGGGGAGGGAGCGGGGGGGGGGTCCAGCCCCATCCAGGGACAAGGCCCTGGTCGAGGGTCAGCTCTGCTCGCACTGCAACCCGGAGGGTTCCACCTGGACGCTGGGAAGAGGGCAGGTCACCGTTTCCTTGGAAAAGAAGGACCGATCGTCGTTGTCTGGCGTCGTCGTGGTCTGTCGGCGTCATGGTCGTTGTCCGTCGTCGTCTGTCATCGTCTGTCGTCGTCGTCGTCCGTCGTCCGTCCGTCGTCTGTCGTCCATCGTCCGTCGTCCGTGCGTCCGTCCGTCCGTCCGTCCGTCCGTCCATCCGTCGTCGTTGTCACCGTCGTCGTCGTCATCTTCGTCGTCGTCTTCGTCGTCGTTTTCGTCTGTCGTCGTCATCGTTGTCGACGTCGTCGTTGTCGTCGTCGCCTGTCGTCGGCTTCGAAGGGCATCCACCTACTTCTTCCCCCCGCCCTTCTCGCCCCCCCCCCCTCGGGGGCTGAGAGGGAAACTGGGGCGGCAGGAGCAGAAGGAAGAGGAGCAGGAAGAGGAGGAGGAGGTGCACGCGGAGGAGTGCGAGGAGAAGGGAGAGGACGAGGATGAGGACTGACGTTGCGACACCAGTCGATCTGACTTTGCCCAACGTGCAGTACAAATGAGCCTGAGGAGCGGATTTGATCCGGGCAGCCCCGAGGGGGTAGTCTCGCGGGACAAACTCGTCGTGGGGGGTGTGCGGAGCCCCGCCAGTGGCCTACGACAGGGCGCCGCTCAATCATAGTCTGTGTTCGCAGGCGAGCCTAGATCATCCTACCTCCGTCCCCTGGCTTTGACTCGTTTCGCAGTTTCGTTGTAAGTCAAGATATCGAAATATAATCGGAGCGAGGTGTAAGATCGAGGTCGGTTCAGGGAGGGTACCCTACTGTTCTTCGTTTTTGCTGGATGTTCTTGTGCACCCTGGGGAGGGTATCCTTGGATGTTCTGTGTGTTTTGGCCGGCGGAGGGTCTCGTGTTCTTGATGGATATTCTTTTGCCCTAGGTTCGATTGTGAGGACGATTTCGGTGTCAGAAGGCGCTGTGGCTTCCGGTCCGTTCCTTTAGTTTGGTTGGGGATTTGTTTGTAACCGAGGCTCGCCGTGGCCAGAATAATACGTTCGTTATGGTCGCTTGATGACTGTATGGGCGCGACGAGGGCAAAGGCCCAATTGTGGGAGCTATAGTATCGCACCCATGGCTTTATGAAGATCTCTAGCCAAGGAAGGCGACGCGGCAGGGTGGGAACACGCTGGTCTCATGCAGTGTTCACAGGCTTTTTGTGACCACCAGTGTTTCCGAGCGCATCTTGCAGTACATGCTGACAGCTAATTCTTGACGCTTCGCGTATCCCCGCCAGCGTATACCGACTATAGGGAGACCACCCGGTCGGAAGCATCCAGCTCTGGAGCCCCATGGCACCCAAGGCCGTCCTGGGAAGGGTGGGACCGCCAGGAAAGTTCATGGAGGGGCGCTGACTGGGGTACCAGGGAAAAAAGGACCGCCCCAAAAGGTGACGCGCAATACGCCGACAAGCGACAGCGAGGAAGGGAGCTCGAACGCTGGTAAGGCGGCGACATGTCTGACAAGAGTTCCCTACGCACAGCAGGATTGACACAGCCCAGAGCCCCCAAGGCGCACGGCCTAGGGATGTCTGGACAAGGGGCGCTCCCTTCATGAAAGGCTGGCCGCACCCGTACACAGCGGATACCCCCCAGAGGTGTGGCGCGTCCTCCTCCGTTGGCGTCACCACTACTGTCAAACGTCCTGCGGCTATCGGCTGCCCTCCTCCCCCTCCTGTTGCTTACAAGTCCTGCGGCTATCGGCCGCTACCCCCGTTTCCTCGTCGCCAGAACTGTACAAGTCCGCGGCTATCGGCCGCTAACCCCCATTTCCTCGTCGCCACAGCGCAGTGCTTGAGAGGCGCGGCTATCACGGGTCCCGCCTCAGTCGGGGTTGGCCCCGGTGCCGAAGGTTCCCACTGGGCGGCCACGTTCCTGACGGCCCACCCAGTGATGGGGTTCGTTTCGCCGCAGTGGCAGGCCGCGGCCTCGGTTCCCGTGTTACCTCCTGGGAGTGAGGTACACCCCCCACGCTGCGCTAGACACCCACGGCCCCCGTGGGCTCGTAGCCCGTGCGGTCGGCTGGAATAATCCCGCCCACGGTTTTGGTCGGGTTACCGGCCCGAGGAGGACCTGGTCGTCTCGCTGAAGGCGTTTCCCCATCTGTCCTGCTTCCACCTAGGTTCTTTGCCCGCGCTGAGTGCGGGCCGTGGTGCCGAGGACGCTGGTCCGGCCCCCCCTCGTGCTCCACCACATGAAGTTCAGCTTTGTGCAAGTGGTTTCCCCCCCTCGTCGCCGTTGGGGGTGATCATCACTGAATGAGACCCCCACTGCCTCGTGGATTGTAGCCCGTGCGGTCGGCTGAGATAACCCCACCCACGGTTTTGGCCGCGTTACCGGCCCGCGGAGGTCCGGGTCGTTTGGCTGAAGGCGTCGCCCCATTGGTCCCTGCATACAGTGGATGGCTCTGGCCACGCATTGTGTCACCTTCTGGGTTCGAGAGGCACTACACTTCGCTTTGGTACCCGCGGCGTCCCGTGGGTTCCTGCGCCTGCGGTCGGCTGAAATAACCCCACCTAGGCCTTGCCCGTGTGAGTCTGGGCCGTGGTGATGAGGCAACTGGCTGAAGGCCTCTACTCGCTTCACCGTTGAAGTCTTGCTGTGTACTAAGTGACCTCCCCCCATCGTCGTTGTTGGGAGTGATCGTATCTCTCGGCGGTGGACATGCACTGGGTGCTACGTGAGTGAGTACGCCGCTCTAGGCCTTCTGTGTTCCGCGGATGCCTGGGTACAGGCTCTGCGTTCGTTTTCGCCTGTTTGCGAGTGCGGTACCTTCTGGTGCCCTGGCTCACTGGCATCTGCCCAGTGGTCCTTGCTCGCGCCTCGGCTCAGGCTGCGGTCTGCTTTGCTTCGCGCGCGCCACTTGGCGCTCTGCTCTCTCTCTCTATTTCGGCCACCGGTCCAGCTCCCCACCTGCGGGTCTGGCTTGTGTTCGTTGGTTGTCCACCTGTGGCAGCTTCTCTTCCGCTGGCATCCGTTCAGTGTTTTTGCAAGGTAATATTCTGGCATCGTCTTTTGCCGCGCATTCGCTACAGCGGCCTACGTGCCACTGCAGCCAATTATCTCGCTCTGTGCCCCAGAACGTCAGTCCCGCTCGCTGGATCTGTCCTTCGAGCCGCCGAACAAAAAAAGTATCCCCGCCAGCCTTGCGCGTCGCCTCTGCTTAAGTAGTCTCTGCGTAGCCCGCTTGGACCTGACTCGCCGCTGGCACGCTCGCCCGCGGCCGTTGACAAAAAAATATCCCCGCCAGCGGCGTCCGCCTGCTGCATGGTCTGCTTGTTCGACAAGGTGCTTGGGGTGGATGGGCCCTTCTTCTGGCCTTCATTGTGCTGCTGGCCTATACACCCCGCGCTCTGGGGAGTGCTACACGCCGGCCACTTCTTCGTTCACGTGCCGTTCTACCTCCCCCGCGCCATTTTGGTTGCGTGGTGTTCCCACATGCTTGACGTGCTCGTGGTGGGCACGGTCTCCCCGTCAAGTTCTACCTGTACGGCACGCTTGGCGCCCCTGTTCCGCCTTCACCCTGCGTGTCCTTCGAGGCAAGGTTTCGTGGCCGCCGGGGTACGGATCGGCCTGCTCGGCTCCTGGAGGCACGGTCGCGCTCTGCCGCTACTGGCGCTCGCTCCTCTTCGCGCCCACGACGCGGTCCTGGTGCCGTTCCTTCGCCCCCGCCTTTCGGCCGCCTTCGCGTCCCGCACGTCCCAGCGCGTTCGTTGCACCGCTTTTTCCTGCGCAGGTGGCATAGCCTGCCCCTGCTCGCCCGGCGTCCGACTTGATTTGTGCGCCTGCGTGCCCAAAAGTATCCCCGCCAGCCGGGACTTTCCTGGTGGACTCCCGGCTGCCCCTGTGGAATCCCGGGTGCGCTAGGATGTCCCTTGTGGACTCCTGGCTGCCCTTGGCCATTTGAGTACCGTGTCGCTGGCACGGGCCCCACGCAGGGACACAGGCGCGAGTCTGGAGCCTTGCGCGCGCGGGCTAAGGACTGCATTGATTCCGAATGTTGCGTGCGCGAAACAATTCCACAAGTACAGACCCGACATGCCTGCGATGATTTCCCGGACGCCTTGCGCCGCTGCGATAACGATGATTACCAGCTCGACCGCCACCTTGGGTTCAATGCTACTTTTGGGCGTACACGACAGGAGCACATTACGAACGACTGGGGCAATGTTGGGCGATCATGCAAGGGACGACCAAGACGCCCTTGACGCACGCAGCGGCAAACAGTGCAATCGCAGCCACGGCTGAGATGGGTCCCCTCTCAGAGAAGGCATCGTCAGTAGGCCCCCCTATTGCATGTTCAAGTACACCACCCAACACCTCCCACCACGCGCCCCTTCGGGTCGCGCCTGGCTGCGGCTGCTCCTTGTCCAGTTCGCCTCGCGCCTCTCGTTCGCCTCCCGTCCTTCCTGGGGTATTCCTTTCTTGCCCTCGCGGAAATCAGCTGCCGCCAATTCATGCCCTCCACCACCCATCCGTCTTCTCCGCCTGGGGTTCACCTGCGCCTGCTTCCTCGATGCCCGCTCCCGCTGACTGGGGCAGCGCATCGCCTGGGGTTCGTCATCAACGATGTTGGAATCAACCCTCCAAGCTCCCTTTTCCGCAGGGCCCTACACATTCATTTCCACAAGAGGAACAGCCTCGTTGGAAAACAACCGTTTGAAAACCCTGAATCCTGCAGACAGATTGTCTCGGGATTCGAACTTCACGTATCAACCTGAGCCTTGCATCTTGACCATCTGGACTCGTGCCAGAACACTTTCTCCTGGATTTCAACACCGCGAATCAATGCGACTACTGCGCCTCACCATCCCGAATCCTTCCAAGACATCATTTTTGGCACGCTGATCATGGGAATCACTGAAATTCGTACCCGTAGTAAAAAAAAATATTACGCGGCGCTAAGGCGAGAACCACAGTTTGAAAAGGAACCGCCCTCACTCCGTGAAACTTTTGCTGGCATGTTTTGCAACGACTGTGCGCGGCGCCGATGCGAAAACCACATTTT